TTGATTTATCTATGAAGTTATATACATATATAATTTGTTGCACATCCTTGTTTTATACTTGGATAATTAGCACAAAATCTCCCTACCTTTCAATGTTATTATGCAAAACATTCCACTTTTTGACATTTTCATCCATTCTTTCACTTTTCATTGCAGAAAACATCATTTTCACCCATTTTAACGTAAAATGACCAATATACTCTCCTATTTAAATAAAAAAATAAAAATAAAGAACAAATTGCAATCTTACTATTAAATTTTTCAAAAAATTTCAAATAACTTCACCTTTATAGAATTGTCGGCCTCCATCTCACCAACCTCCGTCTAAAACATCAGATCTCACACCACGAATAGCTGCTATCAACCTTCAAACATTTTCTCATAACAAACTGAACAAACAAAAAATTTACATAGCAATAGCCAAAATCAAACAGAAAGGCAGGCTGCTTATCACGCACGCAACATGCTGTCTTTTTCCTTCAATTTCGGTGCAGACAGTGGTTCCCACTGTACCAGACCACCCATTCCTGCTTTTCCACATTGCACCACACCTGCCATAAAAATGGGCTTTCCATCAATTTCATTCTAATATGTCCCAGAATTTTTTACCAATTATTACCCAATAAAAAATTGAAAGCTGCTATTGTAGATTTTGATTTTGTGCGTTTGTTGATATGTTAAAATCATAAAGAGAGGAGCTCTAATGAGTATAATCGATTGGTGTTTTGAGAATGACATGGATCTTGTCAAAACAAGTGGTGCCACTAGTTTTTGCATTCTTGAGTTGGGCATTTTGACTTGTAATTTTGACCAAATCTATTGGTATGAAGGTTGGATGTTGGGTGGTATGTGTAGAGAGGAGTAAGGACTTTCCGTTGGCATGGAGGTCCGATAGGTTGGATGATGGTTGATAGAAGTTTTTTGGTTTCTAAGGTGGTAGCCCCATTTGGCGGCGAAGGAGGCAGAGGTATTGATGGGCGCCCCGCCCCGCCCCGTTTGGCCCAAATCGGACAACTTTTTGTCCTATTTATTGTCCCGTTTATTTTTTTTTTACATTTTCAAAGTTTTCGAATTATGTTATTATTAAAAAAATAAGATACAAATTCAAAATGAATATTTAACTGGTGAATTGTCAGAAATAAATTTATTTTTAATTTTTTTTAATTTTTTCTTCACGTTGCCAGGCATCCTCACCCCACTCCGCCCCGCCCTTCCAACTCGTTCAGAGCGGGTTTTTTTGCTTCATTTGGGACGAGACGGGTTTTTTTGCCATCCCTAGGTAGAGGGAGAGAATATTTTTTTTGTTATTTTTAATATTTTTTAATAATTTATTTCGACACATCTGCACTTTTTAAAAAGTTTAGGAGTAAGATTGTAATTTGTTCCTTATTTTTTTTATTTTTTTTTTATTTTATCTAAATAGGAGAGTATATTGGTTATGATACGTTAAAAAGTGGTGAAAATTATGTTTTACACAATGAAATGTGAAAATAGTGGTAAAAATGGCAAAAAATGATAGTATGAACGTTTTGCACAATAACATTGAAAGGTAAAAACATTTTATGCTAATTACCCTTTTACATTTATATGCTACTTTGTAATAGCATGCTGAACAGCATGACCAAATGATTCAATGCATTTTGATGAAAGAAAGAAATCTCTAATGCTCAATATTGTCAACATGTTTGCATAAAGTTATTAAATTAAACAAGCAACCAATAAATAAAAAATTAATTATTAATTTATTTATTTTTTGTAAAAAATTATAAAATTATATAATAAGAAAATTGAAGGAAACAATAAAAAAGAAGAGGGAGAAAAATCTTGTAAGAATTTCAATTACAAATTTATCTTTCTTTCGTAGAAAAAAAGGGAGAAAATGATAAAAGAAGAGAGAGAACAAATGAAATGAGAATATTAAAAAGAGAATAATAATAACATGCATGCTAAAGAGAAAAAGAGTATAATTATTTTTTTTTATCCTGGCTCAAGAGTTTGTAAAATGCAAGAGAGAAAAATATTGACAAAAGAGAAAAATCACATATTGAAAGACATTTTCCTTCGTTGTTTTGTGTTTTAGGCGAGTCTTTCATGGAAACGAATGAAAGAAATTTTGTGAGATTGGTACTTTTACTTTATGTTTAAAAGTTAGTACGTAATGAATTTTATAAAAATCATTACTATTCAAAATACCCCTAACTCTTTAAAATGTTTTAATTTAATATTATAGGTTATTTTTTATGGTCTATGTTGAATACCTCCAAACTTTTACAAAAGTAAGTTTTACTTGTTACACCTCTACATTTTAAACTACAAAAACCTAAATTGAACGCAGACTGGAGTTAAAAACAAGTCATCCACTAAAAATGGTAAATTTCCAACATAAAGTGACTTCTACCAATGTTAATGAAAAATTGATATCTTGTCAGTAGAAGTGGAAAAAATTCCATTTTCGACTCAAAAGTGAAAACCTTGGTACCCTTTTTCTACATTCTTCAGTTATATATATAAGAACCTAGACGAAGTATTACTTGAACATATTTCATCACAACCTACAAAGTTGCCAGGATTAAATGATTAGACGAAATTTTGGTAGTTTTCAATTCAAATAAATCTCTTCACTTTAAGATTGATTTATACTTTATAGATGCATGTCAAAACTATTTCTGCTACATTATGATCATCAGAAGTTTTTTACAGCATAAAAGGCTTTCTGCAATGCTGTCACAACGCCAACAATCATAAAAAACCATCACAGAACTTTACATTAAGATCTTGCTTGGTACAGATTCTTTAAAACTCATTTTTCTCCAAAGTCATCTTCAACAACACATTCTCCTAATAAAATAATTTTACACAAAAACCCATAACTCTCCATATTTTTTTAACCACATATTCTCTGAAAAAAAAATAATTTTTCACAAAATATATTCCCAAATAATCTCCATTAAACAGGTTCTAAAAGTCTCCAGTGAAGAATGCATTTGATATTATAAAATTAAGACAATAACAGTGTAAAGTAACATGCATTCTAGTTTTTTCCCTAACTGATATAAACATCACTGATGATATGTTTACATTTCTCTTAAACTTTGATCTGTCGATGGTGATGTAGATGAGATTGATTACTAGACTATACATGCAATAACATGTACAAATGAAACGAGAACCTGTTGCACCAGTTTAAAGAAATCATGGTTCATGCCCCGGACTTTCAGAATCTCACCTATTTCTCGAGTAAGAAGTCGCTTAAGAGAAGCAAGCAACTTCAACTTTTCAAGCGTTACACAACAGGCTCTAAGAGCAAGCTTGATTCTGCAAGTCTCCTGCATCCAGCTGCAATTGCTCGCAAACCAGTACCCGTAACGTTTGGAAGACCACGCAATTCTAGGTCTGAAAGTTGTTCTAGACAGCCTAAATGTTCCATCCCTCTATCAGTTACTGCACTGCAGTAAGACAAGATTAGCTTTCTCAATTTTCTGCAACCAACCGACAAAGAAGCTAATCCATCATCGCTGATTCCAGGACATCTGCACCAAAATTATATGAAGAGTGTTTAACATAAGCATTTCCCAAGTAAATTGTTAATTGAACTGAAGATTACTCACCTGTACAAATCGAGTTCCTGAATCTTTGGGCAATTTGAAGCAATATATGACAGCCCCTTGTTTGAAATGTTAGCGCATAGTCCAAGTTTCAAGCATACAAGTTCTGAACATTTTGACAAATATCTTATTCCTGCAGAGAAAAACAAAGAGAAGAGTGTAAATAGTTTCAAAAACTTATGGTCAAACACCAGGAATGGCTTTATGCTTCTACGTCATCAAGAACACTGCCCTTAAAGAAGGAAATCGAGTAATGGAACTTCAAAATATTTTGATAGATATTGTTCTTGAATTGCAAATGATGAATCAGAAAGGTTTTAAAAATTACCAATGTCATTAATTCCGAAACAATCTGTAAGATCAATCTCCTCGAGTAAGACACAATGTGATCCAAGATACTCAAGACTCTTCTGACTGAGCAAATTGCAACACTCTAACTTTAGACATGAAAGATCTTGACACGACTCTGCTATGGCTCGTATTGACGAATCAGTGAGGTCGCTGCAGCATGTCAGATTGAATACCTTCAAATTAACACAGCCAGATACTAGCTGAATAATGCCCGTATCTGAGACTCCTCCACATTTTCCCATCCCAATTTCAACCAAAGCCTTGCAGTTAACGCTGATAATTTGGAAGCTAGAGTCAGAAACTCGAGCCCCATCAATTCTAAGTGTGCGCAGCTTCTTGAGGTCCTTAAACTGGTGAAGAAAAGTCACCGGGATATCCTGGTGAATCGAAATCCATTATTTGAACCTCAGTATTTGAATCAGAGAACTTCATAAAGCACATAAATTAACGTTGGACAGAACTTTTACTCACGAAAAAAGAGTAGCTAGCATGAAGTTGCAACAAACCACTATGTGCTTTGATTACTGAAACCAATGCAGATGAGCTCAGTTTGTCACACCTTGATATATCCAGTACCTGGGCATCATACAAGAATTATTTCAATTTTCTGCAACTTATTTTACCCATTGACTGGTTCCAATGTAACAAAATCTGAAATTTACTCCAAGTATTGCAGTCACCGAAAAATTAACTCTACCAAGTAACTATCCGATACCCCCAATTTGGGATTACAAAAATTGTTACGAGTATGCATGTTTGCCAGCAGAATCAAGAATATCGTCAAGGACCAATTTGACTCAAGAATTCTCGCAATATCAGCATGCAGTTGAAGAAAAATGATTTTTCAGGAGCTTAAAACATATGTAATTAGAGGAAGCCAAATCATGTTCTAAAATAAAACTATCAGTCAATATCAGAGTAAATATTTTTCATCATTGAGCAATACAAAGAGAAAAATAACAAAATGAAAATGTAGCATAACAAGGAAAAATATGAAGGAGGCAGTGATCAAAGCAGTCAAATGGGATTTATTTGATTAAGTAAACTTCAGAACTTTTCCACACATATAAATAGAGTCAACAGCGACATCCAATGCAAATGAAAAGAACGATCGAATAGTTTAGAAGGATTGCTATGGATGGAAATGAACTTATAAGTTGTTATGATAGAAGATATTTTACAATTTCACTAATAAAAGAGAAGATCTACTAGCTACTTGTAAAGCCAAATATGTGTGTTGAGAAGAATTATGGTTGTATAGAACATAATAAAACATTTCTTCCAAGTTCAAAGAATGTAAATATGTCCATTTCATGTAATAAATTTTGATACAACTCTCAAACGGACAAACAGATGTCACATCCTTCTGTTATCTGAAAAATTGATGTAAAAGGTTGAGCCAAGGGACTGTGATTTGAAGAGAGAATTTTACCTCACCAATTAGAAATATTAAAAGCCAGTGTAAATTGATTGAATGGATATCCATACTTAGCAAACAAAATATTTTCTAAGAGAATATGACATAAAATTCAATACTCCATCGATTGTTCAACACAAAAAGAACAATTTAGGGATGCAATGTTGTTACTAGTAATTAGGTAATTGCTTCAAAACTTAAGAATGAAAATTCAAAGAATTGGCTCCACAAAAGAGGTTCAAAGTTTCCCAAAGTCAAATTCTTAATACATTGCAGAATCTTCGAAAATCCATAATTTCGTGGTAAACCAAAATAAAATTTCGAAGGAAACCATGAAGTCCAACGTACACATTGTAGATAGCATATGTACCATAAATTTATACCTACTACATTCAAGTCATTCCTAACTAAAACAATTTATAAGTTGCTCTTACAAATGACAAAGACACAATCATTAATTCATAAATGACTTGGCAACTAACCTGAAAATGGTAGAGATTCGAGTAATGAAAATATAATAGCAAAAAATATATTTCCAACACTGCAGATAGGCAAGAAGATCTCGCCCACCAAAACTTTTTACCACGAAGGAAGCAGAAAAGATAACCATAAAAGAAAAGTCAGAAATTTCAAATTCATGCTTTCTAAAGAGAAATATGAGATGTCCAATGTTATAGTACTCTATTTGGGTAATAATCGTATGATAAGTAAATTTTTTGCTTTTATATGATTTAGACCATGTAAATTTCTTAGAGTTGCAGCAAACTTACATCAAGAAACTGTCATTAAAATAGAGTCTAGAATTTTTTAGCATAAGAATAATGAATCAACTAACTACATCACCCAAAGAGTTATCTACTTGATACATAGAACTGATTTTCATTACAGAAAACACAAAGAACAAGAAACGCGAAAGCAAAAGCAAAAGATTGAACTATTTCTCGAACCATTCAATAAAATTTAAGCATAATCATGGAGAAATCGCTAACCTGAAGCGAAGGGCATCCTTTGCCAAGATAATGCAATCCAATATCATTTACTAAACTACACCCCACCATTGCCAACACCTCCAACCTCTCCATTCTTCCGACTGCTAGTAAAGACTCACTCGTAACCTTAAACAAATCAAACCCACATTTCAATTAATCGTAATAAGAACACAAAAATAGAAACACATATTTACATACATATATATCTGTTTAAATAACATAAATGACACCTTCAAGTATGAAATATCCAAACGCTTCAAGTCAGAGCATTTCTTGGACAGAAGTTCAACCCCAATATCAGTTACTTCAAAACACCACTTCAGGCTAAGGTTCTCCAGTTTTGGACAACCTACGACTATTTTAGCCAATCCAACGTCAGTAACATACAAGCACTTGTCCAAGTTCAGTTCCCTCAGGCCTGCGAGACACGACAACACCGCCGCCTCCCTGTCACCGAACCCACAGCAGTATGACACATCAACGCTCTCCAAATTGACAAAGAAACTAACAATCATTTGCAGCCCGGGGAATCTCAACCCGGAGCACCGACTCAGATTCAAACGTCTTATCTTCGCAGCCCAACTGGGTGAAACACTATGAATGGAGGAAAGCAAGAATGGGATCGTACCATCATCGATGCGGGGGCAGGCAGAGAGGTCGACAGAGTTTAGGCAAGGGAATTTCACGACGAGTGTCGAGAGGAACTCTGGGCGGAGTAATCGAAGGTGGGTCCGATGGAGTGAGTCGACCCGGTGGAAGACCTTACAGGTTGAACGGAAGGATTTTCGATCAAAATCATCGTTCAAAAGGGAAATGATTTTCAAGAGGAGATCATCTGTGAGAAGAGTGAGAATCAGAGAGGACTCCATCGAATTGAACCCTTAAAATCGGCTTGTACGGGGATAGTTTGAAACTTACTTTAAACCGACAAGTCAAGTCAAGACTTCCAAGAATACAAGATTTCAGGTGAGGACAAAGAGAAAGAGGAGGTGAAGTCGGAGGAGCTGGTGGTAGAGGGTGGCCGAGGAGAGGCGCCGACAGTGTACGTGGATCTTTTGAATGGGGGGTGTCATATTTTTGTGTTTCAGAGGTTTTCTTCCAGGTTAATGTCGTAGTACAAAACCATGAGAGATGGAGATAAGCAGTTGAACGTGATCTGCAGAATTGAATGATAAGTGATACACAGGGAAGAGCTACTGATATATAAGTACGAGAGAGAGAACCATAGATCCAAAGTACAGTCCTCACATGCTTGCCTTTTCCTTCATGAAATACATTGAATTTAATTATTCTAAAGTGGACAAGTGGCATGGACACATTATTCTCTTCATTAACGAGTTATTGTCTTAAATTATATTTGAGGTTAAATATAAGTTGTGCACTAATAAAGGTATCATTATAGGAGGATGATGGACGCTGTATGCGAATAAAAAGAATTTCGAGCATTGAATTTACAAACAATTATAAGTGGAGAATGATGGACACTGTATGCGAATATGAAATATCTCAAGCAACGAATCTACAAACCATAACAAGTGAAGGATGAAGAGTACTAATATCTCGAGCATCAAATTTACAGATCATGACAAGTGACTGATATTTATCTTCTTCTTCTTCTTCTTTTTTTTTTTTTTTATATATTTTAGCTAAGCTTATATATAAAGATATCTTAGGTCTCAAAGGTTAAATACTTTTTCACTATCTTCTAATCTATATTTAGTTCAAGTTTTATAGTGTTTATGAATATATGAGTCAACTCTTATCTCCAAAATTTTCAATGATTTAAAAGTATATTCATTTATCTATCACTTATTTTTTATCATTTTATCAAAAAGATTTATAAATATTTTCTAAAAATATTATATATAGTGTAACAATTTGTTATGGATAGTAAAACATTACTAGAATCCGCCTTTTTTTTCAAGCGATATATATATATATACACACAAGCGATATATATATAAACTGGGGGGAAATCAAGAAGTTGAAATGACAATTTGGTCCCTTGTATAATGCAAATATACGTCATGGATGATGATACATCTACAACTATTTTAAAGGGTATAATTTAATAAAATATCGGAGGAATACGATTCGGTCAAAAATTAAGTCAAACTTCTAGCACCGTTGATCTTAAACACAAGTCAATCAGATAGAGGCCACGTGGTAACGTGCAGTCTGCGTACGGGTAGGCTGTACGAAAAGTCGTCGGAATTCCTAAAGAAGACTCTCTAGTGGGTCCCATTACCGTTGAAAAACCGTACCTATCTATCAGCCGTACGATTTAGCCACCTGCTAACACTAAAATTAAAAAATATAAAAGGTGACATGGCATGAAGAATTTGGACCACCTCATTTTGTAAAAAAAATTCTCAACTTTACAATTTTCCTAAAATAATAAAGGTAAATTTCTTCAAGATTGAGTCACTCATAAAAATTTCAATCAAATTACTAAATTCTAATTTTAATTTCAGATTTAGTCACTCCTTTGTTAGCCATTGACTGGATATAGCATGTGTGGAACATGAAACGTTTATATTTAATTATATCCTGCATTTATTAAAACACGATTGATCGGATTTTAAAATATGGATATTTCATTGTTTTTCAATGAAATTGGAGTCTAATTTATTATATGACATGTTATTAGGCAAAACTCGATGAATGGAAGTGAAATTAAAAAAAGAAGCAAAAATTGACACAAAAAAATGAACAAGATTTGGAGATTGGGGACTAAAGTGTAAATATTCAAAATTTGTGTTAAACTTCACGATGAAAATTTGAGAATGCTAGGAGTCAAATGCATGCAATTAGAAGTCAAACAGAGTGAAATATGACTAAAATAATTTAACATATCAAATTTCAACCGCACACAGATGTTCCATATTTTTAGTCGGAGATTGAAACCCATTTTGGACCTAGTAAACAATCGAATTGGTAAAAGATTACTTCGAGCAAAGTTGTAACTCTTTGAGTTATCTTTACAACCCAACTTGAATCGCCTCAATCAGATGTAAGGAGAAAAAGTTATGATAAAAATACTAAAAGAAGTGCAATCTGATTTTCTACCCGAAACGTCGAGGCACCACAAAAACAACACTTTGGGTGCATCTAGGGCAGAGTCGGACCTGAGGAGAGGCCTAAGAGGCCATCGCCTCATGCCCAGCTCTTTAGGGGGCCCAAATTTATTTTTTTCTAAATCCTACTAATTACATTCAAAACCTCCAATAATTGTCCCACTAAATCAAAACTTAGGTCTCCTCCTAAATTCTTAACTTCTCTAAAATCCAACTCGTTTATACTCATTTCACTCTTGCTCCATACAATAAAGCTTCTTCAACAATGATATCATGAATCCGATAATAATATTGTATACATTTGAAGTTAAGCTGCTTCTCTCCCCTTCTTCTTTTTTTTTTTTTTTTTTTGGTTGCCGTTCATTTGTCCATTCTGTTTTGTTGTTTTATGGAAAATTTATAAAAATGTCATGAAAAATGAAAATTTCAAAAAATTTGGCATTTTCACTTTATGTGAGCAAAAATGTCATTTTTTTGGAATGAAAAGTCTAAATTACCTTTAATGACACATTTTTAGTAGCATTTAATGCTTGATTTGAAGGAAAAGTATTGATTTGATGTGATTATTTAATTTTTATATACAAAATATAGATAAATGTGTATTTTATTGATTAATATGAATTTTTGTTAATAAAAAATGGTAAAAGAAATTTAAAAATGAAACATAGCCCTTGTTTGAGCCCCATTTTGGTGGAGAAAATGAATTTTTGAATAGTGTATTGATGGGAAATGTGTGGTTAAAAAATTAAAAAAAAGTTTTGAATTTACGTGTAATATTATTTTATTGAAGAACGTGTGGTTAAAATGATGTCAAAACACTGTTTAAAAATGTATTTTTTTGAAAAAAAAATTGGGCTCAAACAAGAGCATAACTACAAACCCTAATTTTTCTCCATCTTCTTCATTTCATTAATCAAGAAGACATTTCTATTACATTTTTCATCCATTTTGAGAGGTTAGTAATTACAAATTATTTATATTTTACTCTTATAGTCTTTTGTTTTATAAATGTTAAATACAACATGGACATATTAATTTGAAATTTTTGAAACCATTATGTTTGAGTAATTTTTTTCATTCAAGCCAAACACTATTTTCATTAAATGTCTCTTTAATAACAAAGTCAATCTGACCTTTTCATTTTGTCATTTGGTAACTCAATAGTAATGACCACACTTAATGTACTATGCTGAAGAAGCCTGAGTTCCACACACTACCGTCTGCTTCTCGACATTTTCAACAGTTCAATTGTCGAATTTGACATTTACAAACCGTCGGGTTAAATATTTGAAATGTTCAGCTCAACATTTACAAACTATCGGAATATACAGTTTACTATCAATTTGGACACTTCAAAACGATGAAAACCCTTCATTTGAACTTTGCTATTGTACGGATTTACGTATTATGCAGTGCCAATTTCATGCTATTAAATGCCAACATATTGATTCTGAATTCTTATCGTTGCAATCTCAACATTTCATATATGAGTAATCATTTAAGATTCATCGTATCGCATGGGGAAAAGTTTGTTTATGCGGATGACGAATGGAAGTGGAGAGGGAACAAAACCACTTCCATTCTGATGACGACAAATATTACTATAGCCAAACTTTTGTTAAGGTTGAAGGACAAACTTGGTATTCTTGATCTCCACACTCAAATTGAATTGAAGTTCAAAGTCCCTAACTTGAATATATCTCCGGCCGAAATACGCGACGATGAAGACTTAAATTGGTAGTAAAAGTGATTGTCAAATGTAATCCTGAAAATGTTCTCACCTATGTAGTGCACATTCTGAACTTATGTTATTAATTTGTTGTTATTATCATATGCCAATAAAAAATTGATCATTATGTTTTGCAAGCAAAGTACCAATTATTACGGTTCCATTAGCACAAACAAAATGTATACGTTATTTTCATTATAAACTTAGCCGATCATTATGGTTCCATTAGTTTCGACTGACAGTTTGTCGAAATGGAAAATTGATTTTCATGAAACGATAATTCACAAGCAAAACACCAACATTACAGCCCGACAGTTCATATATCGCTCCCGACAGATGGTTTCTGTAATTCTTGACAGTTGGGAACAATAACGGCTTCCAAAAATACGCTATAGTGGTTACTCATTATGGATATGTTATTGTTGCATGTACGCAGAGGATGTGACCAAAATCATCCCTACCACAAAATACTATACATAATTTCCTACAAAATGGCCATTTATTGCACACTTGCATTGCTATCTATATTTTAAGCTTTTCCCCCACTTTCTCCATCAGAATCGTTTAAGCTTATGACAATTATTTCTGGATGTGGAAGATGAGCGAGCCACTCATCCGAGTCGGACAGTGATTCGATCAAATCCCTGACCTTGAAAACTTAATCGAGCACGCTGTTCGGTGACTTAGATTCTGCACTTGACACTTCGTCGAACTCAGCACCATGGTGTTCAACGCTTACCTCCTCATCGTCCGATGATAAAACGATGGGAAATTCAGCGACGAACCCAGTATCGGCGTATTCATATTGGGGTTGAATGGTTCGTTGCTGAAGGTGGATGAACCCATTATCTCGTATCACTAATTGTTTCAATATTGGAGTCTCACAAGAGCTTATCTAGTCTTTCAAGGGGTGGATTATGCCTTCAACCATAAAGTGTATTTGTATTGGTCAAACATGCACTATCATTTTCTCATTGGCATTTTCAAGGAGAAACTTATAAAATGCATTAATTTTAATTTCTCCAAAAACGAGAAACTTATAATCTTTATAATTTCCTTTTATAAACTATGATCCGGATATTGGTCAAACTTATAATTTTCATTTTTTCGAAAGCGAGAAACTTATAAAATGCACCAATTTTCATTTTTCAATTAGATGTCAGTTTTAATCTCGAGATCGAATGAGTTCAAAAAGTAAGAAACTTACAAAGTGCACCAAAAACAGTTTCCGTACCAACATTTTTCGAACTAAATTCACACATTTTCTTTGACAGTGAATACCACTTGACCATAACCATCATTTCCCAAAAAATAAATATATAATAATGTAAAACAAAATTTTACTCCATGCATTCTCCGCAGTCACCCGAAGTAAAACATTGTCAACGTCGCTCTTTCTTTGACATGGACATCGATTGGTTCCACCTCCCATTACAACAAGAACGTGTCGACCAACAC